AGAGTAAGGCTAGACGTTTAATCCCACCTAACCTTGTTTGCACCATATTTGACTAGACCATCTCGTCAAGACATGTGGCATCAAACGAAGGCCCATGAAGTCCAACGTAGTTGCTAAAGTTCACAAGCTACCATCGTGTCACGGGATGACTTTTTCGGAGTCTTCCTTCGTGCGGCCTCAGACTTGATCGCCTCTCTCGAACAAGCTAAGCAGCCTTCCTTCCCACAATCTAAGATCGAATCAAGCAAGAACACAACGCAAGAGCAAGAACGATAAAAACACTCAAGAACGCACAAGAGAGTTTGGGAGAATATATGCTTGTATTGCTACTCAAATGCTTTACAAGTTGTGAGGTGAGGATACACAATGTGACATCCTCCTTATATACTGTTCCTATCCCACCTACCACCACAGTAGGTGGCTAAGATACAATGTCACCAACCGAGACTCTACCTACCACTCTCACCAACCGACGTCCACCTACTACTGTACATCGAATCTGGACATGTGGGCTAAGAGGTCTAGCATGATCAATCCGACGGGTTGGGCCTTGAACATGCGGGCCGTGACATTCTCCCCCACCTAATCCGGTGACGTCCTCGTCGCCGAGGTAGTTCCTTCTCGTTCGAATGCTTTGATTTAGTCCTTGTACTGCCATAAGGACTCTTCTCCCAATTGCCTTCGGACTCTGGCAGGCCCTTCCATTTGACAAAGTACTCAAAGTGTCTCGATACACCTTTGTGTCGCACCTTGCGCTTGGCCATGATGCACTCGACCTCCTTGTCAAATGAAATCACCATTAAAGGTGGAGCTCGTTGAGGCTCCCCACGACTTGGCTCCTCGGGGTCAGCATGGTAGGGCTTGAGATTGCTCACGTGAAACACCAGATGAATCTTCAATCGTGGCGGTAGTTCCACACGGTAAGCAGCTCTTCCCACAGTTCGGATGATAGGAAATGGGCCCTCATATCTCCTCAACAACGCATTGTGTACCTTTCTAGTGGACTTGTGTTGAGAGGGGTTGAGCTTCACAAAGACCATGTCACCCGGTTGGAATACAACATCTCGCCGGTGCTTGTCCTTCCATTTCTTCATCTTCCGAGTTGCCTTCTCCAATTGAGCCCGAGCTATGGTTGCTCAACATATAAGCATCTACATCGACTCTCAATTGGTTGTCAATGAGATCACTACCAAATTTGCGACAAAGGACACGTCCATGACTGCATACTTGTCGCAAGCTCACCTATCTCATGGGATTAGACATGGAAATTTCATTCCTAAGAAGTTCAATCTGTGAACCAAACTCAGGTGCATTCAGTATATAGAAAAGATATTTAAAGATTACAAAGCCTAATGGTTTTTTTTGTGTGTGTATATATATTTTTTGGGCTTTATGGCCTAGATGACTCAACCATGTACTAACTGGGCTCCAAGTTTGCAAACCATTACATTTGACTCTACATTTAAATATGAGATGCCCAATTTAATTGTAACACTATCGCATTGTTACCTAAAGCTCAATTAACTGAAAGATAAACACAAAAAGGATTAAAAGCACAAGTTTAACTCAAAAACATAACCAAATCATAAGCTAGAAGGGTAAGAAATAATATACAATTATGAACCGATCAGCAGCTAGTCAAATGAAAAAAAAGTATTTTCTTAGTCGGCAAAATGTTCAAAGCTATCATATATATTTCAATTTTACAATCCCAAATTGTTGTCTTTTGGGGTGGGCTTTTAGTCAAAACCATAAATAAAACCTCACGTCGCATATTATGGATATGTGCATCCACATGAAGATTGAGAAGGACGGCTACCTCACGTGCATAGTGCTTGCATTTGGATAAGATTCCTGTTTGGGGGAGAAACATTTGTGTGCAACGGAAATAACACTGTTTCGTTATTCCCGGTCAATCATGTCATGTCACGCATAATAATTTTTTCACTTAACATAACGTGATTGGCCTGTTTAATATAAATTTTTCTCGACGTGTGGGGAAAGCCTCCATCATGGCCGTTGTTGCAGCGCGCTGTGGCAACGAACCCTCCGTTAGATCTTCCTTACAGCCTGGTCGATGCATTCCTGTGGGTCCAACCTCGCAAACCCCACAATCAAGTCGAAGAATGTTATTATTATCATGTGAGCTCCCCAAATATCTCAAAAACCTTTAGATATTTTATGCATAAATGACACAATTTCTTATGAAAAAATAAAATAAAATAAAATAAAAAATTATGTCGGTAGACACAACGGTCCATTCGGAACAAGAAGTACATAAGAGCTTGACACGTGTCACGCTCACCTATTTACGGAACTCAGCTGTATCAATCCTTTCCCTTTATTTGGAAATATGTGCTGTGAGTAAACCCAATACACAGCCTCCACGCGGCACCCCAGCAGCAGAAGGAGCAACTCTATATAAAACCACACTCTACACTCTCTAGTTCCTGTCAAAAAACACAAAGCAGTTGGATTTATTCTCAAAGTTGCTCTAAATTTTTCCTCAGAAGAAGACAAAAAAAAGCTCGATAAGAATGGGCACAGCAACTTTCGTAGACATCATCATAGCCATCCTCTTGCCTCCTCTTGGTGTCTTCCTCAAGTTTGGCTGCCATGTCAGTATTATATACAGAATTTTGATGTAGTTTTTATGCATGGTTCTTATAAATATGACGTTTATAAGTTGTAAATATATGCTTATGTTCGGGACGGATTTATTATGATTTTTCAGTCGGAATTCTGGATCTGTTTGATTTTGACTATTTTCGGTTATCTCCCTGGTATTATCTATGCCATCTATATCCTCACCAAGTGATCCTTCAACAATTTCTGTAAGCAATTTTTTTTATTTCTTTTACTTTTACTTGAAGGAAAAGTAAGAAACAGTAATGAAACTGCATAATTAAGCAAAACATATATGCCTTTTCACTGGGCCACATGACATGACCTGCACTAACAGCTGATGATCTTTCCTTTTGTTGTCTTTTTTCAATGGACAGGTGGTAGAGGATGTGAAGGGCAACTGTGTGTGTTTTGTTTCTGTATGAAGGGCTTGTATTTTCAATTGTTCATGTATACAACTTAATTAATTATATCTGGTGTATGTGCCAAACGGATTGTTCATTTGTATTTTTTTGTTTTGGATGTTAATAAGAAATGCCAGAGGCCTCATATTTGACTCACAATCCATTTTGCTTTGCAGAATGAACTCTCTACCCTATTTTTCTCTCTTTGTCAAACCCTACCCCAACTGATGGTACATTGGACCCCACTATACCCCTGTGAACGTTACGTGTTGACAGATCATTCAATCGGCAGGGCAGTGTTGCCGACCTGCTTTTGATGGGACCCGATCGAGTCATCATCGAATATGCCATTCGCTTCCAATTTAAAGCATCCAACAACAAGGCCGAATATGAATCCCTCTTAATCGGCCTTGGACTAGCAAGAGATATAGTCGCTTAACAAATAAGCATCTACATTGACTCTCAATTGGTTGTCAATGAGATCACTACCAAATTCGTGACAAAGGACAAGGTCCATGTCTGCATACTTGTCGCAAGCTCACCTATCTCATGTAATTAGACATGAGAATTTCGTTCCCAAAAAATTTAATCTGTGAACCATGTACTTCTCTTCAAAACCCACGTTACTAACTGGTCCCCAAGTTTACAAACCATTACATTTGACTCTACATTGAAATATGAGATGCCCAATTCAATTGTAACACTATCTGCCCAATTTAATAAATTAAATAAAAATTTCTCAAACTAATTCCCTATGAACCAAGGCAACCCTTTTTTTTCTTTTTTTCTTTGGGATCCTGTCATTGGGCAGCTAGTCAAATGAAAAAAGGGTATTTTCTTCGTCGGCAAAATGTTCAAAGCTATCATATATATTTCAATTTTACAATGCCAAATTATTGTCTTTTGGGGTAGGCTTTTAGTCAAAACCCATAAATAAAACCCCACGTCGCATATTATGGATACGGGCATCAACATGAAGATTGAGAAGGACGGCTACCTCATGTGCGTAGTGCTTGCATTTGGATAAGACCACTGTTTCATATAAGTTTTTCTGTCGTTTTGGGGAGAGCCTCCATCACGGCCGTTGTTGCAGCGCGCCGTGGAAATGTACGCTCCGTTAGATCCTCCTTACAGACTTGTCGATACATTCTAGTGGGTCCCACCTTGCAAACCCCACAATCAAGTGGAATAATGTTATTATTATTATTAGGGATGGCAATTTTCCCCCCGCGGATACGGGTCTTAACGAAACTTCGACCCTAATGGGTCAAGTATGAAGGACAAAAAACGAGTATGGAGAAATTATCGGGTATGGTGATCGGGGAGGGGCGGGGATGATATTTTAATCCATAACCCGAACCCGCCTTGTTATAATAGGAAATCTCTTCAACTTCAACTATACGAATATAGAGTAATAGGAAATCAAATCAACCGACATAGGGCTCTCTATAAATGTAATAACAGGAAATCTTCTCTATTTATTTATTATATATAAATATATTATTAAAGAGATTTCAGTAATGAGGCGGGTAGGGGAACCCGTTCCCTAATGAAGGCGGGGATAGGGAATCCCCGCTTAGAATATTACGAGTATGAATGCGAGAATATGGAAAAAATGCTTAATGGGGATGGGGATGGGAATGACATACCTATCCCCGATTCGACCCATTGTCATCCCTAATTATTATCATGTGAGCTTCCTAAATATCGCAAAAACCTTGAGATATTTTATGCATGTGTGACGTGACACACGTCCTTATGAAAAAATAAATAAATAAAATATGTCGGTAGATACAATGGTCCATTCAGAACAAGAAGCACATAAGAGCCAGACACGTGTCACGCTCACTTATTTATGGAACTTAGCTGTGTAAATCCTTTTCCTTTATTCGGAAATATGTGCTGTGTATGCACACAGCCTCCAGGTGGCACCCCCAGCAGAAGAAGGAGCAACTCTATATAAAACCACACTCTACACTCTCTAGTTCCTGTCAAACAACACAAAGCAGTTGAATTTTTTATTCAAAGTTCCTCTACATTTTTCCTCAGAAGAAGAAGAAAAAAAAAAACTCCATTAGAATGGGCACAGCAACTTTCGTTGACATCATTATAGCCATCCTCTTGCCTCCTCTTGGTGTCTTCCTCAAGTTTGGCTGCGAAGTCAGTATTTTTTTATTTTTTATATAACATATTTGTGTGTGTTTTATATACAGAATTTTGATGTAGTTTCTATGCATGGTTCTTATAAATATGCCGTCTATAAGTTGTAAATATATGCTTATGTTCCGGCGGATTTATGATATTTCAGGCGGAATTTTGGATCTGTTTGATTTTGACTCTCTTTGGTTATCTCCCTGGTATCATCTATGCCATCTATATCCTCACCAAGTGATCCTTCAACAATTTCTGTAAGCATTTTCTTTAATTTCTTTTACTTTTACTTGAAGGAAAAGTAAGAAACAGGAATGAAACTGCATAATTAAGCAAACATATATGCTGATGATCTTCCTTTTTGTCGTCTTTTTTCAATGGACAGGTGGTAGGGATGTGAAGGGCAGCTCTGTGTGTGTGTTTTGTTTCTGTATGAAGGGCTTGTATTTTCAATTGTTCATGTATAGAACTAATTAATTATCTGGTGTATGTACCAAAGGGATTGTTCATTTGTTTTTTTTTCTGTTTTTTTAATGGGATTTTAATAAGAAATATCAGAGGCCTCATATTTGACTCACATTCCATTTGCTTTGCAGAATGAATGAACTCTCTACCCTATTTTTCTCTGTTTGTCAAATTAATTTTGTGCAAAGACTTGGGCATAGCGTTTCTTCTTCTGTTAATTTCAATCGTGACTTTTGGTTGACATTCCACAAATAACAATTACTTCTTCACATATGCAAAGATTACCAAGCCATGTTTGAGAATTGGGCCGGCATTCCACATTCGAAAACATTTAATATCGCTAGTTGTATACAACCGATTACACGTAAGATTTTCTCGTCGTATTGTTAATTTCACCAAACATTCAACCACCTGTAATACATTTTTCCCTCATACGCATCTAATACCATCTACGCAAGCTCATACTGTAACAACTGGGCCCAACGATTGCTCCATTTTTGTTTTTGGCGCAACCATTTTACAAAGAATAATGTCCAATTATTTCACCAAAAAGAAGAACATGGAACAATTAAATTGTAATAATAATCTAATGAAGAAATTCTCAAACTAATTCCTATGTCCCACGAGACGAGAAACCCTACCCATTTTTTTATTTTATTTTAATCTTTTTTTTTGCGATTCTTTTATCTTTAATCAAAAGGCAATTCGCCAGCTAATCAAATCAAGAAATAAAATACAGTATTTTTCGCACTGAGAGCATAATGGGGGAATCAAAACCTTCAAAACAATCACATATGTCGCACGTGGGAAGGGTCAAGTCTTGTGCATGGAGATTTGAGAAGGACGGTTACGTCACGTGCATAGTGTGCATGCATCATATTTGAAGCCTCCATCACCGCCGTCGTTTCAGCATGTCGCGGCAACCTACGAGCCGTTAGATTTTGGATACAGCCTGGTCGACATTGCAATTCAGTGGTCCCGCCCTCACCCGCCATTTCATGGCCCTGGAAAGTTATTTTAACATTTCGTATAGAACCCCCGACGAAATGTTATTAATTATCATAATCTAGTATTAGTATTTTGGAAAATGAATACCAAGAAAAACACTTGGGCCAATTACAAAGTTACAAGACTATCGAAAGTGACCAAAATCCACAATCAACAAGAAAACCAAGCATGAAAAAGAAAGAATGTTGAATGTCAAAACAATTTAATTTTTTTAATAGCGATAATTAGACCTCGAGTGTAGAGACAAACGTGCTTACAATTACATAATAACTCTTCAATTTCGGTTATAATTTTAGTAGGATTTATCGATTCCATTATCTAACTTAACTACTTGCACAAAAGGCAAAAGCTTATCATATTAAGGACCACATTTCTACTTCAAACAAAAAAAGAGGACCCCATTTTCACCATTTAAATTTGAGGGTCATACCAAATACTAAAATTTAGCAGAAGTCAATTGTTACTTCAAAGATTCAAATATGTCACATTTTTATATGTCATCATCAACATATGGCACACTTTGGATAAGATCTTAAGGGTGAATTCTATGTTTGGGTATTAGCACCCATTGGATACTAACAATATCCATCTTTCCATATATATAATCTAAGTTTAAAAGTAAATATTTATTTAGGATACTGGTTGCTTCCTTTCGTGTAAAGAGATACTTTTTTTTTCTGTGAATTACAGTTTGACACACATATGCAAAAATAATTCATCAAAAACACAAAAAGAAAATCTTTTGCACATATGTCACACTGCTATTAATAAGAATGTAGGGAGCTCCTACTTATATGGTAGACAGGAGGAAAGGGGAAGCTATACTGTATATGCTTTGACATTTTTTGGCATGTGTACACAGAATGGTCGATTAGGTTTAAGAAGAGGAGGAAGAAGAATAAGCACATGGGAGAGTTGTTCACACATTTATGATTCTATTGGACCAAACATAGCTGTATATGATTCTTTTTTCTTTTCTTCTTTATTCGGATTCGGCTGTATAGCCTGTATGAATCTGAGAACAAAGAATCCCCCCCAAAAGTAAGATTTACAATAGAAAGTTTACAGGGCTAAGTAACCGCGTACAAATTGTATCTACACCCACGTGTCTCCTCAGCAGCCGAGCAGCTGTATATATAACCACTCAGAGTCTTTCAGTTTTTGTCACAACACAAAAGCAGTCTTCTTCTTGCACTGTAAACTCCCACAAAGTGTGTGAAAAAAGGGTCCTCCACATCTACAGCCATGCCGAGTGAAGGAACAGCAAACTTCATAGATATCCTCATAGCCATCCTCTTGCCTCCTCTTGGTGTCTTCCTCAAGTTTGGCTGCCATGTTAGTATCTTCTAAAACTTAATTTGGAGCTCATTAATTTATTTAATATGTGTTTCTTTGTGTTTATAGAAACTTAATTGTGACTTCTAATTAATTATTTTGCTTATATTTGGTGAAATGGTGATTTTCAGGTTGAATTCTGGATCTGCTTGTTGCTGACTCTTTTTGGTTGGCTCCCTGGGATTATCTATGCTGTCTATGCCATCACTAAATGAGACTTCAATTTCTGTAAGAACCCACATCTCTATTTCACTGAAAATTTTATCTTCTGTTTCATATTTCAATAGAACAGAGTTTTTTTTTTCTTCATTTTGCTTAAAGAAAGAGAAAAGAGGGAGTTTTTTCAAAGTTGGGAAGGAGACACACTGTCAATATGTCTGTAAGTTACTGTGCTTAATCAGAAAAAAGAGAGGAGTACTTTAAACTGCATCATTAGGCAAACATTGAAACATACCTTTCATTGGGTCAGCAGGCCAGATATGATTTAATTCGAGAAAATGGGTAGCTGTTGGTCCCCACATTGACATGGCCTGCACTAAATTCATGCCATCATCGTTCTGATACTTTTACGTTTCTGCTTTGACAGGTATGTAGAGATGTGAAGGGCACATGTGTCTTTTGGTTTCTGAATTATGGGATTGTTTTCAACCGTTTGATTGATAGTACTTCATCTGGTGTATCCAGATGGATGGTTGATACTTCATGTAGTGTGGTTTTGTCCATTGTTCATTTATTTTTCTTTCTTCCTTTTGATTTTATCCTCCTTCCACCTCCTTATCAATCTGTTGTAAAGGTGGATGGTAGGTCTGGTGATTCATGTCTCTTAAAACATTAGTTATTTATTGGGTTTGGACGTATCAGTGGCTTTTTGACTGCTTCATATATTATTATTATTAAGCAAAGGGAACATCAGAACAAATCCTCCAATCATAATCAGGCCACATATTCCTTCTTCTATGTAGAATTAGCATATTAGTTTTTAATATATATTATAAAATTTGATTAGAAAATCTCATATTGGATTACTTTGGTTCTGTTCAAGAGTGGAAAAGAGAAATTGTTCATCCACATGACATGACATCTCATGTCTGCTGGCTTGTACATTTGCAGAAAAGAACAATGAAGGAAGCTACCTTGCATTGCATCCAATCCAAGCACTTTCATTAGGGCAAAACAATACTGAAGCTCAAACCTGAGGTGTTTAATCACCTTTACTAACGGGGTTGAGATTTTGATAAAAAGAGCGATAGTATTTTATCGATAAGAACTAATGAGGTTGAGATATAAAAGCTATTTTAGGCTCAAATACAAAAGCTTTTAGTTTATCTGTCACTTTCTTCGGTCAATAGTACACTTTGTTCTGCAATTTTCTATTGGATTTTCAAAGATTGTGACCAACTGTACTTTTGCCGTGATGTGGAAACAAAATAGAAAAGAAAAGGTAGAGGAAGCACAGATGGTGTATAATCTACGTGGTTGCGTATGAACCAAGTTAAAATATAGAAGCGAGAATCCATGAAAAGTTCAAGCCAACTCTCTTAACGTATCCAAATTGATAACCCTTTATGATATTCAATTCCACATTGACATGAACAAATCGTCAAGATAAGATCACGAGCAGCAAAAAGAACAATATTTACCAGTTTATAGGAAGAAGCATATAATAAGAGAGGCAGGTCTAAAATCTTTGTACATCCACAATTTTTCCATTACAAAACTACAAAATCCAGTGGAATTTTCAACTAAATTTTAATGTAATATATATACACATACCATCTGAGAAACGGGGTTCTTTTTCGGTTCGAAAAAGATTCTCAAAATTGCACATTGTCCTAAACATAAGACTTACAAGTATATTTCACCACATAAAAACAGTCCATAATTCTTTTCTTTCTTTTTTGTTAGATTTATATTGTGGTAAATGGTAAATAGTTATTCTTTTGCAGCTTACCAAATTTCTTAGGGTATTCTAGAAGAAGGAAAATAAATGTCTAGCGAAAAACAGGAGGAGAAATCACTCAATTAGCATATTGTAGCTAATCTGGCAATAAATGACGGTTTTTGAGTTTTAGCCGCGATTGGTGACGGTTTAAGGACCTATAGTGACAAAATTAATGCCCCATCTGGACAAATTTGTTTAGCAGCGGTTTTTTTCGTCGCTAACCGTAGGTAAAATTCCTTTCAGCGACGATACCTGTAACCGCCGCTAAAAGTCGTAACTACTTTAAATTCGCCATCCTTCCCTGTATCTCAATTGGAGCACAAATTTACATAAACAGAGTCTAAAAACGATTACCGGTTAAAAAATTAATTTTATGATCACCCGGTATCGCTTATCAGACCAAATAAACAAAAAGTGGTTTATGGGAAACCTTGAGATGGAGCTACTTTAGTTTACATCAACCAACACACAGTAGATATACAGAGGTGTACACTTTATATCAACCAGTATACAATCAAACAATTTGAAGCCCGCATTGGCAACCCCTGCACTTGAAGAGTGATTCAACTTTTATCTCATCCTTTGAATTGCCACTCCCTGCGACACATGGGGCAATGTGCCTGAGAAGTCTGTGAATTTACCCATTTTAAGATGCAATGAAGATGGAAAGCATGGTTGCATGCACCCCAAACTGCAAGATAAAAGAATAATTTAGTGAATTATCATCAAGCTGTACAAACAATGAACCGAATAATTAATACCAGATGAAAATTATAAACAAAGAAACACAAATCAGACTGCTAATGCAAACGATGAAATGTCTGAAACTAGTCAGTCAATGCACAAAATAATAAAGGCTTTCCCACCTTAAATGCATGCATTGTAAGCAATTGGTTGGCCTTCTTGATAATAGAACAAGAATATAGGGTTTGACTGTTAGTTTGGTAGGATACCATGGTAGCTGTGCATTGCAAACCATGTGTAAAATGATGTTCTAAGATGCCGGCGGAAGATCTGCTGTTAGATATTTGAATCATTTGGGTAGTTCATTGAAGAAAAAGAAAGAAAATCCAAATGCCCAATGCTTGTAAATTAACAATGAACTGTATATTCCATACTATTGTGAAACAAAGCATTGATATGAATTGATGTCATTATATATGAATGAGTAGCAAGAACCACACAAATCAGAATAGAAAAATGTGAAAAAAGGCATAACCAAATGCGTATAGAGACAACATGTGCTTCACTACTCAAACATCACAAGTTTATAGGTCAATCTGAAAATCTATTGTGGTTTATAGGTCAATCTGAAACTCTGTTGCAGACTTAGATCTTTAATAATAGGAGAGGCATCAGAATTTGGTGAAACATGAAATATTATGCAAGGCATCAAGCGAATAATGTTAGCTACTTACTTAGTGGGCAATCATCCCCAGGGAGCTTACAATCAGGGCAACAACCATCAAACGCCATCCTGCAAATCCCACATGTTTCATCTTGTGCATCCCATGTCCATGAAGCAACAGCATGCCACCTGCAAGTTGAAAAGGATAAGAATTAGAGCTCCAAGAGTACATCATTGTTAAAGTTATAAACATTCACAAGGTCAGCAATTGATTAATGAATATAACAGATAGAGAAGAGATAAAGAGGACATACTCTGTTTGAAAAGCCCATCAGATATTCGAAAAGAGAGTCAGTTAAGAGAAAACTGTTTCTATAAGATGTGTGCAATACCTTTGACAACAAACACGTTTCAGGTAAAGCCAAATTAATTAGCAAACAAGATCACGATGTAAAATTTTCAAGCCGATCAACAATTAGTAATTCTTGAAGAAGCCAAATCATATGAATTTGATACCATCAAGCTAAAATTCATTCTACCAGGATTAAATAAATGCAACAAAGTTAAGACCACAGAAGTGAAAGAAAAGGAAAATATAAACGATAGTTATAAATAGTATAGAGGTTGGATTTAAAAGAAAGGAACTGAAGACACATTGACAAGGATACGCAAGATGTTGACTTTCATCCTCTTCTCCTGCAAATACAAAATCCCAAACCATACAATTCAGAGAAGTGAATGATAATAGAAACTCTAGTGAATGATAATAGAATCTCTTTGGTTCCATCAGTTTTGAGAAGATATACACTCAGGAAACAAAATTCAGAAGCCTATTGATTTCAGCAATATTCATGGAAAACTGTTAAAAATACATGCTGCTTGTATATTCATGGCAAACCAATATTCATTTCAGCAACTTTTCCAGCCATCAAAGTTTGGTGCTTTCCATCAAATTCAAGCAACATATTTTACATGCAATCCTTGAAACTTCCAAACCAAACTATAAATAAGCCTATCCTAAGCTTAGAAAAGCATAGGCATTGGGGGAAAAAACACATGTAGCAGTGGGTTGAACTATCCTTATTGGTTGTAGGGTATGGCCAGAGTTGTCATCATAACGCCAATAGGATTTTGCTCAAGTTCTGCGTTACTTCGAAGACCAGTGTCTAACATCGCTGCCTTTCCAGGTCTCTGTCTTCCTAAAAAACCCTAGAATTTTCTCACTAATAATCCTTAAAAACCCAAATAATAAAATCAAGAATCAGCACCAATTATACCAAATTCAACTCAAAATCAAACGCTAAAATCACTCAAACACATCATATTATTTGACATCTAGAGAATAGCAGCCATGGAAGCGTACCTAGGGCAGAATCGGAGCAACGGAAGAAGGCGAAGCCCTAGTCTTCGTCGTTCGTCTGAGGTTGGGTTCCAGAGTTCGGGCAGCTTTGGGCTTGGATACAAGACACCACGTTCCTGACTCACACTAAGCCCACCAAACCAAACAAGGGCTACGAATTTGAACATAATTGGAATAGACATAATGCAGGATTTTTTGGGCCTCCAAATATTTGACTATATTTGTGAATTCAATCTAATTATATAATTCAGCCCATTAAAAAAACCCAAATTGTTAATTTTTATGATTTTTTATTATTCATCATTGTGAATTTATACGTTTATATGGAATGAGTGTGATTTGCACGTTAAAATGAATATATTTCATTTCTAATAAGAAGCCAAACATTATATTACCGTGTAAATAGCTTGTAGCTCAAGTGATTAAGAGCATTTATCATTGCATCTGAGGTCTTAACTTCGATTCTCACCTCCTGCAATATCGTTTGTATCAACGTAAAAAAAAGAAATTAAATACCGAAGTTATTCTCTATGCAACATCCTACACTCCAATCAAGAAAAGTTCAATCTTAATGTTTTGTCTACAACTTTTGTATGTTCAACATTCGTCATGGTCAACGTGAGATGAAATTTTAAATTGGTCATTGGATTTGGATCGGTGGGCGCGGATGACCATTAGGAAGAGGGATGGTTGGGCAATCTTGGGCGGCGTCATGAATGAGAGAAGCGAGGTATATAGGGGAGATAAGGAAAGGAAATGTCAGCTACTCTCCTTAATCAAGTCTAATTCCTTATTTTTCAGGTATTAAATTATGAATTTTAATTTGAAACTCATGTAACTTTTGATTTCTCATATACTAACTAGTAAACACGTGAAAAATTAGGAACTAAAATAATTCCAATGCTCATAGCACACTATAAATTTCAAATAGGTCATCGCATTTTTGGAGTGCTCGGTGAGCATTAGGAGGAGGGATGGATGGCCGGTCTTGGCTTGGGCGGTTTGAGTCTTGTTCTCGAGTCGAGAGGCTTTTTTTAAATGCATGAAAAAATTAAGAATAGAAATAATTTTGATACATACCTACTCCACCTAAGTAGCACACCCTAAATATGGTGAAAGTAAAATTAGAAATATAAACTGTCCAGATATAGTATATTTATTGTTATTAGGGCATGGGTCAAGAAAATAGAAGCATGACTGAAAAGATATATATATATATATATATATATATATATATATATATATATATATATATATATATATATATATATATATATATATATATATATATATATATATATATATATATATATATATATATATATATATATATATATATATATATATATATAGATTGAATGAACCACATCAACATCTGTGTTGTAATGCATGTATGTATGAGAATTAACAGACAATTAATTCCATATAAACCCAAGGGTGGATAAGAAGTCCCATGAATTAAAAAATAAATTTAAAAAAAGAAAAAAAAACACACATAAAACATCCACCAAACTCAATTTACTAAATTTTCTGCATCATATTACAACTTTTTTATTTTTGCTAATAAAAATCTACCGAGACATACCAAAATGTTCTATATTGATTTTCATATCTCCTGCTTTGTAAGAGCATTGAATTTCTATTTAGGATGTAATCTTCTAGAATTGGTTAGGTAGCCCTTCTGCTGCTATATAATACCCCAGGCTGTTTGGGGCTAAGCCATCTTCTTCTAAGGCTCTTCCTTCTTCTTCTTCTTCCCTAGTTTGCAATTTTTCTCTCTCTCCATTTTTTTTCTTCCTTTTGAGCCATGACTAGAAAGAAGGTCAAGCTGGCCTACATAGCTAATGACCCAACCAGAAAAGCCACTTTCAAAAAAAGGAAGAGGGGCTTGATAAAGAAGATAAGTGAACTGAGCACACTCTGTGACGTTCCAGCGTGTGCCCTAATCTATAGCCAGTATGAGTCTCTCCCTGATATATGGCCATCCCCTTCCGGCGTGCAGCGTGTTATCGCGCAATTCAGAAATATGCCGGAGATTGAACAAGGGCGGAAGATGTTCAACCAGGAGACTTTTCTCAGGCAGCGGATCGTGAAGGCTCACGAGCAGCTCAAGAGGCTGAGGAAAGAGAACCGGGAAAAGGAGGTGTCGAGGGTGATGTTCCAGACCCTCACTGGTAGGCCTCTGCAGGGACTGAACATGATCGACCTGAACGACCTAGGATGGCTAATCGACCAGAACGTGAAGGAGCTTGGTGAGAAGATCAAGAGCAAGAGAGAGGAGCTGCTGGCTCAGAACAATGAAGTCACAGTGGCAGCACCAAATGCAGCAGCTTTGCCTGCTGCAGCTGGAGACCATGGCATGGACCTGAACATGCAGCAGCCAGCAATGGAGAACACCATGCAGAGGCCTCCATGGTTCTCAGATATGATGACCCCGCAGGAGCCAATGGGGTTTGGTGCTGCTGGTGGCGATGAGGTGTTGCCCTTCGGGGATCAGAATCATCCTGCTTTTTGGCATAACAGCCCTTTTTTTCGTTGAACTCTATCTGGTGTTTGTTTGTTTAGTTTTTGGTGTTTTTTAAAGTGATTTTCTTTGATGGATGTTTTGTTTTGATGGTGTTAGTCTCCATCTCAAACCACAGCGGGTTTCGTTTCTTAATTTCTTAAATTTATGTACCCAAAAGTTTATATAACAGTAGTTCAGTTGTTTGGTTTTCTCAATCGTATTCTTCGAGGGCTTATATTCTCTGATGTATTTGAGTACTTTATTAGATCTTTTTAATATCCATGGAAATATAATCTATTATCTATATATATAAAATATATATAGATCCTTTTGAAATTAAGATGGGCTTCTTAGATCTAGGTTCAAAACGATTAGCTGTTATTGGGTTTAGTCCTCGCGTTTTTTGTTTTAGATGTAGGTCATTTGACATTTATTACTCTTTTTTTGTTATGTCGATTTTACCTTTTGAGGTAAATAAGGAAAACACATTGAAAATCAAAATTTAATGCATTATTTTCTTGTAATTGAATTCCAGAATTTAAATTTTGAATTTTTTTTCCTTGATAATATTCATAATATATGGATAAAATACAATTTAATCAATAAAAAGTAAAGACCCACATATTATACCAATCGATCAGACAATCACCCACATTAAATTATGTACCTGACATACAGGTAAATTGTGTTATTATTAGCAACGAAAAATACTTAGTGATAAATCATGTTACCTGTAAGTTAGGAATATAAATTAGAAGACTACCTATAAGTCATATACAAAAATAGACAAAATAAAATTGGATGTTACCTATAAAAAAAAAAAAGGTACATAGAATACTATTACACTGTCAAAAATATGAAAAAACATATATATACCTATGCAATAGGCAATATGACAAATGATTATTACCTGATTCAAGTCATAAGGGGCAACATTGGAACAAAAAATGATTTTAAAAATAAAATAATAAAAAGATTACATCAAAAAAAAATTTAAAAAGGAATGTAATTCTATGTAGCACAAAAGTCAAAGGACTTGAATCAAAGTCATCAAATCTGAGGTTTAAACCCAACTCCTCAACAGGATTTTGGATCTATATCAACTTTTCTAATTTAAGATTTGTTGCTATGTTATTGAGAACCAACCAACGAAAGCAAGAATGATTAACAAGAAAGGTCAATGAAGTTGGATATGTTTATCAAAAAAATTTACATTTCATAGATCACAATATTATGCAGTTCTTATCTTCACTAAGAATTACTCCTAAACATCCAACAAGATTTGAAAGATGAACTCATAACATTTGAAGACAAACTTTTGTACCCTTTGGTTAACTCTAATTTTATAGATTGAAAACATATCAAAGAAAACTATCTGCAAGAAAATTACAATTAAAATCCTTTCGGTTATTGTTAGAAGAAACACATATTCAATTACAAAACAAAAGGAATCAAGCTATAATTGATGGTCTTATAATTTTACGAAAGAGTTTTATTAATGAGTTGCATAGATATGAAGGATATTCATTTAGTTTAAAAGAGTTTATATACATAAGAACGATATACATATAGATTATGAAGGATATTCATATAGGTTATAAGATTTTACGTGCACGTAAGAACAATATACATGTAAGTTAATAACAAAAGACGATGTCAATTTTGCTAAAATATGAAACCTAATATGAGAATATTTGTTTGTGGAAATTTTCTGTGTATTATTCTCCTTATAAGAGGTCATATTTATAATACAACGAAACCTGAATGGGCAAGTAAATAATAAATTCATATTTCTATTTATAATAGGAAATCATGAATTAAAGTAAATCAAATATAATTATAATGGGAATCCTTGGTGTGTAAGGAAAGAAAGTCAATGGTCCACAAGTCACGCCAACACTCCCCCTCACGTTGGTGCATAAATGTCGCAAATGCCCAATTGGTCAAGTGAATTGTGGAACGCTTTACTAGAAATTGTTTTTGTCAAAATATCCGCAAATTGATACTCGGACTTTACGAAAGGAAACTGAATCACTTTAGCTTCGAGCTTCTGTTTGATATAGTGTCGATCTACCTCAACATGTTTAGTGCGATCATGTTGAACTGAATTCTGTGCAATAGCTATTGCAGCCTTGTTGTCACAAAAGAGATTCATTACAGATGTAGGTCTATACCCAAGTTCAATAAGCAACCTCTTTAACTAAATGAGTTCGCAAATTCCTTTGGTCATACCTCTAAACTCGGCTTCTGCATTGGATAAGGCGACCACCTTTTGTTTCTTGCTTCTCCATGTAACCAAATTACCTCCCACGAATGTGAAGTAACCGGATGTGGATTTCCTATCTGTTATACTTCTTGCCCAATCTGCATCTGTGTAACCATCAATATTTAGATGACAATGTTTTGAGAACATAAGTCCTTTTCCGGGTGCAGACTTCAAATATCTAAGTATTCGAATAACTGCATTCATGTGGCCTTCACTCGGAGAATGCATAAATTGATTGACGATGCTCAACGCATAAGCAATATCTGGCCAAGTATGAGACAAGTAGATTAATCTTCCCACTAACCTTTGGTATCTTTATTTGTTAGTTGGAACTTGATCCGAGTATTCTCCAAGATGATGATTCATAATAATAGGAGTGTCTACAGGTTTGCAATCTAGCATTCCTGTGTCTATCAATAAGTCCAAGACATATTTCATTTGAGAGAGAAATATGCCTTGTTGTGATCAGGCCACCTCAATCCCCAAGAAATATTTGAGTCCACCTAGATTCTTCATCTCAAATAGTCTTGTAGCTGAAATATTTTGTGTTTATCATTCCCAGTAATAATCATGTAGTCAACATTGATTATTAAAGTTGTTACCTTCCCTTTCTGAAGTTTCAAGAACAAAGTATGATATGAGTTATTCTGTCTGAAACCATTGTTATTCATTACCATGGTGAACCGTCCAAACCATGCACGTGGTGATTGTTCCAGTCCATATAATACCTTTCGTAATTTGCATACTGTTCCAGTCTGAGTAGTATTATATCCAGGATGAATGTCCATATACACCTCCTTCGTGAGTTCTCCATGCTCCATGTAGGAAGGCATTCTTTACATCAAACTGGTGTAGTGACCAGTCCAAATTAGCTACGAGGGACAATAAGACTCTGACTGTGTTTAATTTTGCAACTGGTGCAAATGTTTCTTCATAATATACACCATAAGTCTGTGTGTACCATTTCACCACAAGTCATGCCTTGTATCGCTTGATAGATCCATCAGCATTGTGTTTTATGGTAAACACCCATCTACATCCGACAGTCTTTTTTTCTCATGGTAAAGTTTCCAGTGTCCAAGTCTGATTCTTCTCAAGAGCTTTCATCTCTTCCTTTGTAGCTTGAACCTATTTAGGATCTTTAAATGCTTCAGCAACCTTTGTTGGAATATGAATAGCAGACAACTGATGCACAAAGGCCTTAAGTGGTTCAGACAGCTTCTCAGTGGATACATGATTCACAATTGGATACTTTGATGTCTTGCTAATATCAGGTGAATAACAATTTGGTGGCTTTCCACTAGGCGTGGGCACGGTACGGTATTGAGCCCATACCACTACCGATACCGGAAATTTAAATCGGTATGGTACGGTATGGGATTATCGTTTGTCAAAATTGGTACCGTACCGTACCGTACCAAATCGATATCGGTACGGTATCGGTACCATTTCGGTACCAAAAATGACACAACTAAAAAAAGAACCAATTCAATATCCAAATCCTAATCAACATATTCAATATCCAAATCAACCAAATCCAAATCAACCAAATCAATATTTAATTCATCAACAGATTCATCAAATTCAAATGGTTAAAACTCATGCCTTATGGCTTACAAAATTACAAACACAATCCAAACATAAATTTCAAAAACAGAAAGTTGTGCAATCCAAGCTTCATTTGCAGCCCACGATTTGAATTCAAGTATCCCCATCATTTGCATATTCTGCAAATTACCCAAACAACTATTAGAAAGAATTCAATGCAAACTAATATAAATAACAAACATGATTTAAAATAATTTACCTGATTCAATGGTTTCATAAAATTCAAATTCTTCAATCGAAGGTATATCTTGCAAGCTTGAAATTTCATCTCCTCTCAACCAATTTTGCATGCATATCAAAGCCTCCACTGATCTAGGAGTTAATGAACTCCTAAATGCATCTATGACTCTGCCACCAGTGCTAAAACAACT